TCGTACAATTTCGGCTTTTCACGCATAATAAAGGGCGCGCCTACCCCGGATTGCTTCCACTTATCCATTTATATGCTCGCGACATGTTCTGTCGGACCTATCGATGCTTTCGCTGCTACCGGGCTAAATACGACCCCCTCCTAAAACTAAAGTGAGGCCACATTTCCCCCTCGTCGCGCAGTCTTCCAAGATGATGTGTCCTGGAGCAATTTCAATTGATTATGGGTGAATTATTGCTATGTCATTTCAGGTGAGTAATAGCAATAATATGGAAAACGCCAAATATGCCATCACATGTGGTCGAAAAATTGGAGCCAAAATATACGCGTTACCTGAGGATATCGTTGAAGTAAGTTTCACAGTACTGGTTCAAAAAAAATTGAACGGTGTTCAGTCGAACGTTACACTTTTTACCAAAATGAGGTAATCGGTGAAACAAGCGGGATTTCTATGCCGCTACCACTCAACAGATAAGTGACTGTTACCAAAACGGGTTACAATTCATAGTCTTTTCCTTTGATCTCCTGCATATTCCCGCCCGCTAGTCGGCGTTTTTTTTTGTTCGGGAAAAAAACTGGAAAATTTCTCTAAAAAGCAGAGAATGTGGTTTAGTCGAAAAAGCTTGGTAGGAAGCCGGAGAGGGGGGGGGGAAGATTGAGAGGGAAGTCTTGTCGGAGGAAGAAATTGGGGGTGGGGTAATCTGACACAGCCACTTCTTTCATTCCGATAGTGCACCCTGTTCAATAGGAGCTCTCTTACTCTCTTGTCACGCCGAGGATGGGCCCATTGCTACGGGGTGAAGTGAGGCGCCAGTTTCCCTCGACGTTTGTGATGCCATATAGAGCAAGAGCAAACAAACAAACTCCAAACGAACCTGGACAACCTGTACCGCAGTGTTGGTCACCACCTATTTTTCGTCATAAGACTCCGGGGCTGTACGGTAACGAGGACATTTGCTTTATTTTTGTCCCCTACTAGCCGTAGAGGCGTAGGTGGTGTAGTGCAGGTGGCACGCTGACCACACGCACGGTCCGGGGATCAAATCCTGGATCGGCCCCCTTCCAGGCCAACCAAGCCTTCTACCCTCCGGGGACGGTGAATTGGTACCAGATTCGTCTGGGAGGATAAAACACTGACTTGTACATCGGCTGGCCCCCGCAAGTCATTGTATAGGCCACATCGCAGTAAGCCGCTACGATTCTGAATGGAAGGAAAAGGGTTGATGAATGGCAAAGATTTTATCTTTTATTTTTTTACGGTGGTAGACGTATCGACGATAAGGAGAAGTAGTTCGCTGCGGACGGTTGGGCGTGTCAGGCGGGATGAGTTTGGCGCGGTGCCAAACCCGTTCTCCACCAGTGTAAAGCGAGCAAATGATATGACTGTATCATATCGTTCGTATTACTCGTTTTCTACCACTTTTTGTCGCATGCGCGCTTCAACAAGAAGGCAGAGAACGGCTTTGACGGCGTGACACACTCATACTGCCCAACCGTCCTCAGCGAACTAGGGTATGGTCTTTTTAGAGTGGTTGTCTTTCCGTCACTATCAGTTTTGCTCTTTCCTTAGCTTGATCGCTATTCACTTCTTTTCTTCAGGTAAAACCAAAAATGGTGATGACAGTATTTGCATGTCTGATGGCCCGGGACTATATGCCTGATATGAGGGAATCAGTTCCAGAACCTACTTATCCCATGTCGTAGTTTGTTTTGCCACAGAAATTGTTTCCAATTATACTAGATTTTCTTAAAATCATTTGTATCTGTATTCATGAGTCGGATTCTCAGTTCTGCGTTCATCGTCGCCGTCCTTTACAAGAAATTTTCCTCCTTTGAGATACTGTACAATTTTAGTTTGATTATTTTGAGCTGGTGAACGCCATCCCGGTATCGATGTCGTCATTGCCCATCCGGTTCGCCAACTTTACGCTATCTATTCCATTTCTTACAATCTGGTCTCTTTTTCCTTAATTCCACACTGTTCTTTTCTTTGTGTGTATGCATCGAACAGTTAGTGATATCCATATATAATTCCGTACAATTCTCTTCAAAACTCACTTGAACTGTGAATGCACAGAGAACTTCCTCCTTTCACCTCTACATTTCACAAAGTCACTTCAGAACGTTGATATTGTGTTGGCTGTTATTGTTTGCACTAATATTACCCCCATTCAGTTGCCCTTCGAATGCTCGAACTAATCAAATCTTTGTGCTTTATTCTTATGATTATCCTAGCTATAAAGTGGTTTTGTATCAGGAAACTATACATCTGGTGCTTTTCTTCGTCTTTGCTGTCCTTACTGCCGATAATGGAGGCACGCCTCGACTGGCTTTCTGAAAATAGGAATTTTTGACCTTTTTTTTGTGAATTTTTGCCCCTAATGGCGGACAAGAACCTACTCGGTTAAGAGATGCGGCAACAAGAAGTTTATTGATGTAGAATGTGTCGTCTTCTGAGTCGGATGAAGAAGTACTGAAAATTCGGATGTAAGCATTAAATTTCGAAGTTCAGGCATGAAGGAGGCTTAAAGAGAGCGAAATGAGTCCTCAGTTACTGCCAGCGTCACTGTGGTGCGAGGCTCGGGAGGGCGTTTCGCCACACGCACATTCAGCCTCCATACTATTACGCTGATAGTGCTGCGGCAAGCCATATTGCCAATGCTTTAAGGGAAAACCTCTGGGAAGGGCAGACGTGCTCTGCGGCTGAGCTTACCTGTACCCGTTTTGTTCTTCTCGCCGACTTGTTTTACATGGTGTCCGTGGAAATCGTCCCTCATTATGGTTTTCGAAGGAGTCCTCGTTTCGTAGTGCTGTAGACGGCAGCACGGTTTCGTAGATATTTTCCACTGGAGGAGGAGGTGGTGGTGGAGCACGCGGTGGTGGACGAGGTGCTCTCGGAGATGACGGCGTTCTGAAAAACATCACATACATAGGTATGGAACCAGCCGGCCTTTTTTCACTGGCGGGTATGATGCTTTTTTTTCGTTTGAGGTGTACTTCTAGTATAGCGACGATCTGTCAGCCAAGAGTTCCAGAGTGCCAACGTAAAAAGAGTAATCCTTCGCGGCATGGCACCACTCTCGCACCCCTATCGAATACGTTAGGTGGTCCGAAAGAGTGTTTTCCCCTACCCTTTCGGCACGACTTCACGTACCGTTCCCCTTACCACCAACAACCAGAGCCTCAGGAAACAGTATAAAGGGTGGAAAGGCAAGCTAATGACTGATTCCTCTTTGGATGCGCAAGTATTTCTGAACCTGATTTTCGCCTTTTTGGGCAAATGACTTCGCACAAATAAGTATTTTTACACTCCTGAAGGAGTCGGCTACTAATGAAAAAGGGCCGTGTTCCAAGGCAAGAGTCGATCGCCATTTGGGTTGAAGAAGTTCCACTGACCGTGCACGTAGTAATTACCTTTCTTTAGTCGCACATCATCTGCGCCCTGTATGGGAGTGTAGTTATGACACCAGAAATGGTATGGTATTTGTTCTTTCTCGAAGATTCTCACACTTTCTAGCTGACACAAACCTTGTCAGTAATTACATATAAACATACGACTCCCACCCTATTAGCCCTGTCCTGAGGATTCCTCAAACATGTCGCGCCTGTCCCATTGATATACCCTACCTCATTCATGAGAACAATTCGTTTTTTGACATTTTATAGAGCACTGGTTTGGCCTTTACTGAGATCGTATAAGATCCGAAAGAGGAAAGGAGGTTTTTGTTCAATATTCAGTACACTTTTCAGAGTTAACGGTGAAAGCGCTACTACGTTCCGGATGTAGATCTGCCTCAACTTAGCCTCTATGCACGCGTTGAGAGTAAGGCCACACAAAAATGCCCCTGTCTGACCACAGGCTCCTTCCATGACTCGTCTCAAGACTAAGATCTGAGATTGTTCCCCGCACGGTTGGTCAACTCGTACTAGACTTATCTGGGAAGACAGAAACACTGACTAATACTTCAGAAACATAGTTGTATGAGCCAAATCGTTTTCAGAATGCCTCCGTGATTTTAAATTGAAGAAGGATACGCGGTGCAGTTCAGAGCGAACAGGCTGAGTAATCTTGTCCTTTGACGTAGACTTATCACCATCTTAATTACCTTATAGGCGTTGTGATGGCTCGTGCCTCCACAGGGCGATGTTTCCGTCGTTGGTGTTCAACGTTAGTTGCTTGGAATCTTTTTTGACGGTGATGACGATGTTGGTATTCGGATCTTCGTCAAATAGTTCATCTGAAAAAACCATTTATCACTGCAGGATTGAATGTCCCCAAGTAATAGAAAGTATTAGGTTGGCGGGAAAGTTCTGTCATACTTTTTTGAACCCAAGTATTCGCCTATTACCTGAAGAGGGCTAACCGGTAATGTGAGCATTTATACATTAAGGATTGATCTTTCTATTAGTGTCACTGGCTCGGCTCCTGCTCATCCTTATTCTGCATTATGGACAAGAATGTTATCCGCTACCTTCAGCACCGAC